TTATAATTTGGAGACCATAAAGATGAAACTTCAAGAACTGGAGCAAGGTTCATATTTCAGACACTTGTTCATGTCCTACAAAGAGTGTCTCTTGACAGAAAGGGTTAACAAGAACCATGCCGGTGTCCCTGTAATCACCATTGGCTGGGGAGCGGGGCTCAGAAAGGTGATCCTAGAAAATATTGAGGGGGGGAGAGAAAAAAGATGTTTTAAAAATTTCATCACATATTTACTCCACATATTCTGTAAAATGGAGTGTATTATCTTCGTTCCTGCCATACAAAGGGATTATAAATTTACTTTATATAAAGTGTTATATAATTACGATCTGCATGTAGGTTAGCTGACTCTAAACTAATGCCCTCCAAATAGAATTTCCTCATAACCAAGTTGGTTGGGATGAAGGTAATTGTAATTCACACACAACTGAAGGGCTCCACTGCTTTGGAAGGCTTACTATTTTCAACAGTACCCACATGTGAAATGGTGCTCCATCAGTTGTGTCTAAACTTCACAAAAAGTCCTAACATGATTCAGTTTAAAAAAATAAACAGGGATAGAGATACTAGCTAGGACTTCTAGCCTCCCACCACTTGGAAGATCAAACAAATGCAAATCTACCTCATGCAAGGTTTTACTTTTATTAACCTTCTCTATATTATATGCCAAAATTACACATCACAACTTCACAAGCAAATACTTGAAAAATAGAAGTAACATTTGATTTTAACATGTTAGCAGAAACTAACGACAGAGTATCCTACAGGTATTTGCAAATCTGCAAATATTCTAGAGTGACAGTATCATTTATCACAAAAAGGTTGCTGTGTGGTTTAGGTTCAAGCTAGAACGTTTCCTCTGTGGGTGTCTATGTAAGAAAGAGACAAAGAGGATTGAGAATATGTTGGGGAAAACCGTTCAGTTTCAATATAATTTACTGAGGCTTCTCTTTCTTATCATCACCACCACACATGTTTAAAAAAAAAAGTTAAGTCTTCAAGAAAACATAGCTACATGTTAAAGCCAGCCCCATGACAAGCTTCTCTTTGCCTTTTCTAGCTCTGGCAAAAGAGAACATCTGCCAAAATCTTACATCCCAATGCCAACTACAGTTCAGTATTGTCACTTCCAGGTTTTTAGAAAAAGTTAGTTTCTTTGATAAACGTGGAAGGATATACATTGTAAAATGCAGCTTTTCCATAATGGTGCTATCGGGATGGAAACTATAACTGCTGAATATATTTTCTGTTAAAATGTTGTGGAATTTTCATGACTTTTCTAGCCACCGGGGGGGGGGGGGGGGGGGATCAGTAGCATGTTTACCAACAGCCCAGCTCAGTTGGAAAGTGAAAGATACGTTTGAGAAGATTGTTATATAGAGATAAGGGCTGCTTTCAGATCAGGTTGTTGTTTTGTAATTGTCCTGTTTCATTCATCAGTACACTTATCTCACATTTGTATCCCTCCCATGTCTTCCCATTAGTTTTCCTCCCTCCCTCCCTCTCTTTCATGTGCTAAGGAAGAAAAATGGTATAACTGCATAATATCTTAATGATAAGTGTCATTCATATGGAAACCTCAATTGATACTATCATTAATGGACTGCATAAAAACAAGCATAAGAAGAATGGCTGAACCCAAAAGAGCAGATGATAAACTGAGAAACAAGCTGAGTGTAGCACAGGTTAAAAATGGAGAGCTGAAAAAAAGGGAAAGGAAAGAAAACTATATAGAGGACTTAAGTTGTGGCACAGTACAGAAAGCAGGTGGGCAAGGAGGGATAAGTTATCATAGTCAGATAAGAGAAGGGAGTGGGGCTCAAAAGCAGGAACTTGGAAAAGGATAGGCTGTGGCGTCATATAACAGAAAAACTACTGATGAGAAAGAGTCAAGTTGAATCTAGTAGGAGGAAGAAAGCGTAGGAAGAGGAATTATGGTTCAGGAAGCCAAGGGATAATGATCTAAGAGGATTCTTGTACTTTTAAGAACTGTGTGAAAAGAAAAATTCTGCTGGTTCCCATCATCATAGGAAGAAGGCAGTGGGATACACATTAACCTGTACCACCCCAGCACTGCTTTGCCAGCAGGGTTCTAATCTCACCTCAGATGTTTCAAGGGATTGTATTTCTCTTGGCAATTCTACTGCATGCCTGTTGAAGTAGTCCATAGTGATTGCATTGTTCCAATAACTCAGGTTGTTTTCTGGATTTGATGTCTTCTTTTTTCGTCGCATGCAGCAGACAGTTAATAGCACAGCTGTCAATACAAACATGTTGAGATTCTGCTTGTGAATCAGGTGGACTGACTGTTGGTGCGAAGCATCTAGAGCCTTCTACTCTATTATTATTGTGATCTTTCCAACCCCATCCCTAATAGCATGATACAGACTGTAGCAACTTGATGATGAGATGCATTAACTCTAGAGGCCTATATTTTAGCTTGAACTAAGTGATGATTTGGTGATTTAGTGATGGTTTTATTATAAAATAGAACCAATGTAAGCTCAATATTCAATATCTACATTTTAATCTAGATTTTTATACCTACAGACATCTTAAAAACTCTTTATTTCATGAATCACCAGCTAAAGCAATAACGCTACATAGAATTAGAAACTATTTTAGAACTTCTGAAGCTATAAACCTTATTAGTAAAATCTGGGTTCCATTTTTAGCTATATTTCCTTTCATGTGTGGATTTCTGGTATGTATTCTGTAAAGCAACCCTTATTTTTTCCCATTAAAAATATTCTGATTTTACAAATGACTAGGAAGGTAGTGGTGGTGGTATATTTGATTTGTGCCAGGTGTTACAATCCCATTATGAAAACTCAAAGTAATATTGGGAGTTATCTTGCCATATATACAGTTCATCTTCTCTTATGCTCTCAGAGCAAAGATACAGATGTTACATTATGTCATGCCCACATATATAGGGTTTTACATAACTTCTACCACCCCTTTGGTAATTTTCAATTATATTAACCACCAGGAGGCACTATATGACCGGTTTCATACTTACTGGAACTCCTTATATGTGGGAAGCCAGATGTTATTCTATTATTCAAACCCTCTACTGGGAATTTGTGGTGCCTCCTCACGGTCAGTGTAACTGAAAATACCACATAGGATATACGCTGTATAAAAACAGAGAAATTCCTCTCCCTTTAGGGGGAAGTGTAGAAGTCATGTAACACTCCATACATGAGGTTATGACATAAAATAACATCTATATCTCTGCTTTGAGAGCTTCAGGGAAGGTGGACTGTATATATTGTCTGAGTGTGTTTAGATATCCCTTCCTGCAACCACTAAGTGTCAGGACCTAGGTGTCCTCTAAAACTAATGCATGTCTAAAGTGCAAAGGTCTGCAAGTTCAATTCCCAGTGGAGGGTTTGAATTCCACAGAACATCTGGCTACCCACATCTGAGACCTAATAGAACAAAAACCAGTCATGTGGTGCTTCCTCATGGCCAATATAACTTGCCATGTACAGTATGTGTATTTATTACCTACTTTTTGTGAAATTTATTATAACTAACTAGAAGCATTGCTATAGCACAACAGGCAATGTTCTGAATGGTGTTGCTAATGTAGATGCTTCAATGGTTAGGGATAACTTATCAGGGCTGCAAAAATCTGGACAACCACTAGAGTAGTTTTATTTCTTTGCTGCCATCTAGTGGTTATCTAGACGTTCACAGCTCTGATATGGTATCTCTATCTCTGGTGCGGTGTAATTCAGCCTAATCAGTAGGTGCTGCTGCTTGAGCAACAGAAGAATTTGTGCTTCTCTTTGTGACATATTCTTTCAAGACTGTTAGTCCCTGAATTCCATATAGAGAAAAACAAAAGAAAAAAAAGGATCATAGTATTCAGGGGGTTTAATTCCAGGAACAGTGAAAGTAAGTATTACTGATTTACATGCCCCAAATATATTTAGGAAATATCTAGTTCACACATATCCATTTGTGAATTCATGCATGTGCGTGTATAAATGCATGCACAAGCAGCATAATGCAGTGTTTACTTCTATGGAATTTTTTCCCATAGTGTCAGTAACTGAGACAGTAGTTGAAAAAAAAATCAGTTCTCGCTTTTATGAATTTTATTATGGGGCAAGAAAGATTAAACCTTCCACCTACCTGAACTTGCATGATACATTAACATTAAAAAATCATGTTTTTGCAATAAAATAGATCAAAGCATAAATCTTCAAAGTGAATTGGCTTATTTACAATGTGGAGATGCATTGACCCATTAGAATAATTTAAAAATAATATATTAACGCAATCATATTTTTATGAGAATCAATTGCAGTATTCCAGAGTTGTTAACAAATTTTATGGGAACCTTCAGACTGATATTATGTTAAGCAAAAATAGCTCTTTAAAAGGAAAAAGAAGTGGGAGCATGGTGCAATTTCACCCTGTTCATAAAATTTTCTTTTATGACATGAGGCTATGCATGCAGAATGGGCTCACGGCAGTAGTTATATTCATATCCATCTTATCTGCCCCCCCCAATTAAATTATACTTATGTTCTACACTGTCCGTGGGGTTCAAGCACAGGGCTATAAAAGGGACACATCCTGATTTAAACGTCACTAGAAGTTTCATGACATTGTGGCTGCAACTGTTTATAAACTCCTACAAATAAGTCTGACTCAACTCAATGGGACAGACGTTTAGAAGAGTATGTACAGTAGAGACAAGTAACCTGGTACCCTCCAGATTTTTTGACTTCATCAGCCTGCCAGTATGAGGGACTGTGGGACTTGCAATTCAGATAATCTGTAGAGCACCAGTTTGCCTACACACTATTATTTTGTTAATGTAAGATAAATGAAACAGTTACCCAACTCTGTATGCGTGCTGTATGTGTGCCTTCAAGTCAGTGTTGACTCCTGGCGACTTGTCTGGACTGGTTCTGCAGTTTTGTTGGCAAGATTTCAGAAGTGGTTTGCCATTGGCTGCTTCCTAGAGCTGAGAGAGAGTGACTGGCCCAAGGTCACTCAGCTGGCTTTGTGCCTAAGTCTCACAGTCTCCTGGTTTCTAGCCTGGTACCTTATCCACTACACCAAACTGGCTCTCATGTTTTAAAATGAAAATCAACCACTTGAGGTTACAAGTATGAATAAACAGATCAGTGGGGAATGTTATTTAAGCCTTTCCTCTTCACCCCAGGTTTCAGTTCAACTCTCCTCCTCCAACTGAATTTTGAACGGAAAATGAGCAGAAGGAAAAGATTAAGCTGCCTTTCCTCCTCTTCAGCAGTCCTTCTTGGCTGCATTTCACTAGAAGTACTTTATGCTTTTTCTTGAAAGGGGCTACTAAATTGATTTGCTGTAATATTAATTGGACCCAAGTATTGGTTTTTGGGATTATACAGTGCAAATCGGAAAGTATTCAGACCCTCTTCACTTTTTTAAATTTTGTTCTGTTGCAGCCTGATACTACAATAGTTCAAATTCATTTTTTTCTCTCATTAATCTACACTAGTACCCCATAATGACAAAGTGAGAACAGAATTTTAGAAATAAATTTATTAAAAAGAAAAAACTGAAATATCACATGTACTTAAGTATTCAGACCCTTTAAATTCATTTTTTTCTCTCATTAATCTACACTAGTACCCCATAATGACAAAGTGAGAACAGAATTTTAGAAATAAATTTATTAAAAAGAAAAAACTGAAATATCACATGTACTTAAGTATTCAGACCCTTTACTCAGTACTTCGTTGAAGCACCTTTGGCAGCAATTACAGCTTCGAGTCTTTCTCAGTATGACACGACAAGCTTTGCACACTTGGATTGGGGGATTTTCTGCCATTCTTCTTTGCAAATCCTCTCAAGCCCAATCAGTTTGGTTGGGGACAATCGGTGGACAGCCATGTCAGGTCTCTCCAGAGATGTTCAATAGGGTTCAAGTCAGGGCTCTGGCTGGGCCACTCTAGGACATTCACAGAGTTGTCCCTAAGCCAT